CCCCAGCCACTGCCGCAAGAGTTCGATCCCTGGCAAGAGAGTTGACCCACATGGCGCAGCAGACCTTTCCTAGCTGCCACAGCAAGTTCCCAAAAGCCAGATTCCACTCCTTCACCAGGCCCTCGGCGCCTGCCGTCAGCAAGGTGTAGGTGTCGGGCCGGCTGTGGACACATAGCACCGACGAGGAGTGGGCCTGGAAGCTGTGGAGGAAGTTGCCCTGGGCTAGCCCCCAAGCATGGACCTCTCCATCCTTGTTGCCAGCATAGGAATAGCCCTGAGGGACACAGGTGAAGGAGCAGGTGATGGGGGAGCCGCTGAGGGGAGAGAACGTCTTCACCTCTTTCAGTTGTCCCTTGCCCTGGTGGGTGAAGACCCTCACCTTATTCTCACAAAAAGCCAGGAGGGAGCCCTGGGGGCCGTTCAGGGACAAACCCTGGACAAACTCGTAATCAGGCATGGGCACGGTCTGTGCCATCTGAAGGCCGCTGCCGTTCGGTAGGATGAACCAGGTGACCACGGGACCCAGGGTGCCAGAGAGCAGCACCTCGGTCGCTGGGTCAAAGCAGAGGCAGCTGACGTAGAAGTGGCAGGGCACAGTTCCCAGCAGGGTGAATGCCTGTTGGTGGTCCCCAAAGAGCCGTAGGCACACGTCGTCGCAGTAGGCAATGAGGATGTGGCGGGGCCCCGCGTGGACCATGGCTTGGATCGGTGGCACGTGATCCCGCACGTGGAACTGCTGCTTCAGTATTGCTTTGGTGTCCGTGTCTCCTTCCTGTATCCAAAGTACTGCCTAGAAGAGGATGAGAGAGGAGAGCCTGACCATGGAGGTGGGTTATGTTCCCAGAGTAAGAGGTGGGAGGGGCCTCCCTGTTGGCCTAAGGATTAAATCTCAGCCCTGTCACCTCTAGGGCCTGAGTTCGATCCCCGGCCTGGGAGCTGACCCACAGGGCGCAGCAGACCTCTCCTGTCTCCCCACTGCTCCCTTCAGCATGTATTTCAGTGGCTCTGCAGGTTCTGTTCCCCACTCTGTCTCTAATGAATTCTCTCACCCCCCTGACACCTTTGGCCTGTACCCCAGTTCTTCTACATGCAAAAAAAAAAAAAAAAAAAAAAAGGAAAAGAAAAATAAGAGGTGGGAAAGGACTGAATGTTTATTTCCCTCTGTGGTGCTAAGGAAAGTCTTGACAGCTTGAATCTGGGCATTTCCTGTACTGTGAGTCAGGTGTGTGATAAGCACCTGCTTAAGAGACTCCTCCCTGGGCTTCCGTTTACTGTACAGTATGGCTTCTACAGGTAAAGAAGGCAAAAGTAGGCACGTGGAGATGGCATTAAAATGGTCTCACTCCGGGTCACCCTCATTATTCTAGAAAAGAGCATTTTAAATAGAATGCGTATAAAGTAAATGAAAGAAGAAGGGAGACAAAGATGAGCTTTACCTTCATTTTGTTTGCACTTGGTTCCATCCAGTTTAAGGAGACAAAGTAGTTGTCATCAATGGAATAGAAACAGATGAAAGGGGAGAACTGGGGCTGGTGAAGTGTCTTGTACACAGTGTTGGGCCAGTTGCTCAGAACCAGCACGTCCTGATCCTTGGGTTTCCCATCAGCCTGAGAAAGAAATGTGACCTGAGCAGATTCCTGGGTGCTGTTCACTCATTTATGCAATACATATTTATTGACGGACACCGGACCGTCATCTAGTGACTCTCCTATTGGAGTAACCAGTTGCGAGAGTTTGAGGGACACAAGTGAAGGAATTGTGTCCTTCACCCTCAGTTTGCAACAGAACAACCTGATGCATCAAACACCCAGTCTTTCTCAACCAAGGCTCCGTAAATGAAGCAAGCATTAGGACCTCCCTGGTGGCACGAGGGGTTAAAGCACAGCACTGTGAAGCTGTCCCCAGCCACTGCCGCAAGAGTTCGATCCCTGGCCAGGGAGCTGACCCACAGGGCGCAGCAGACCTGTCTCACCCGTTGCTCCCCTCAGCAGTGGATTTCAGTGGACCCACCTGTTCTGCACCCCACTCTGTCTCTGGTGAATCCTCTCACCCCCTGCACCTCTGGCCTGTACCCCAGTCTGGTATGCATAAACAAATAAATCTTTTTTAAAAATCTGATTTTCTTTAGGGTGATTACAGATCCAGAAATTCTGGCAACATAAGATTGTCTTTTGAGCCTGTGCTCCCTGACCTTTTCTCTTCTATCTACTTGCAATTTCACAGATACTGGAAATGCAGCTATCTTGTAATCTTAAGATAATGAGCTAAATACTAAGAATGGTAGAAAATACAAAGAACACTGGTCAGAGAACATGTAAGATAAGGACACCTCCTACCTGTCTAATCCATGTAAGTCTATTTCCTGGTTTGGGGTCTGTTTGTTTGTGCAGAAGAACATGTTCTCATAATGTTACTACCTTAATCTAGAAGTCAGAGCTGTTTGCTGGTACGGGAGGCCCTTCTAAAGCTGTTCACATCCTGCTCATGCTATAGCCTGCCTTGGCAGGGATAAGTACTTCTTCCAAGAGACTACTTCTCCAGTATTAGTGCCTATTTCTCTTAAGTATCACCTTTATGTCCTTCAGGGTATTGTTTATGAGGAGTTTCAAGTCCTTCCACACAGGAATAAGTCTGGGTGAAGATGGCATCCTTGCGGTATTCTTGTTCTCTGTAGACATGTTGGATGAGAGGGCCTGTGGAAGGTAAGAGTGGCTGAATTACCACAGCCAGTGTCGGGCTGTGTGAGATGGGTGACGGGAGAGCAATGGGACTAGAGACGGGGACAAGTGAGGCATTCCTTTACTTTAGGAACAGGAGAAACTCTCTTATTTATTTCAAAAAGATAGGGGTGAGGGGCTGCCCTGGTGGCACAAAAAATTAAAAGCAGCACTATGAAGTTACTGGCAGCCACTGCAGCTTGAGTTCGATCCCTGGCAAGAGAGTTGACCCACATGGCGCAGCAGACCTTTCCTGTCACCCCACTGCTCCCCTCAGCAGTGTACCTCAGTAGCTCTGTCTGTTCTGCTCCCCACTCTACCTCTGGCAGGTCCTCTCACCCCTGCATCTCTGGCCTATACCCCAGTTATTTTATGCATAAATAATCAAACCTTAAAATAGAGAGAGAGATCTAGAATGACTCCTGGGTGCCTGGGCCTCAGTCTCAGTGACACTTGATGAATTTAAACAGACAGAAGAAGACTAAGAGTAGGCATGGAGGTGAGATAGTTTGATTTGGGGTTTGTTAGAGTTGGGAGTGAAGTTTCTGATGGGATGGAGACAACTAGATGTACTAGATGTATGGGTCTGGTGATCAGGGAAAACCTCTGGGCTGGAAACAAATGTATGAAAATGACCAACTTATGGGGACAGCTGCGTCCAGGTACCTGGAGGAGGCGCCTACAGGAGGCATGGAGTGCGAGACTTGGCGTCCGTTTATCACACTGAGCCAAAGCGGCTGCAGAGCCGGGTACCCTCTGAGACCGGGGGGGTGGGGGGGGGGGGGGGGTGGGCGCTTCATGGGAGTAGGTTTGTTGAGTGGATTGGACAAATGCTACCAGTCTCCTTAGTGAGAACAGTCTTCTATTTATTTATACATACAAGATCTGGGGTATAGGCCAGAGGTGCAGGGGTGAGAGGATTCACCAGAGTCAGAGTGGGGAGCAGAACAGACGATATGACTGAAATACACTGCTGAGGGGAGCAGCGGGGAGACAGGAGAGGTCTGCTGCTCCATGTGGTGGGTCAGCTCCCTGGCCAGGGATCGAACTCATGCTGCAGTGGCTGCAGATTGCTTCATAGTGCTGCACTTTAGCCGTTGCACCACCAGGGAGGGCCCTTAGTGGTGCTTCTTGAAGTGAGACTGGAGGCAACTTTTCCAAAGCTTGAGAATGAGGGAGAGGAGGAAAGGAGAGGCAGAGGGAGAGGGGTAGGTGAATACAGAGGGGTAAGGACAGGTTTTGTTTAACTTCAGGTTTTTCATTATTAAGTTTTCATTGTTAAATTGTTATAAAAGTCCCTAAATGCTGACTCCAAATTTCTGTACTTATCTTGTTGGGGACCCGACAGACAGCTCCAAGCGGGCACCCACGGGCTGTGGAGGGCCACCTTTGGGGTTCCCACTCCTGCCTGAACGACTGGAGGCACTTTCATGCAAGCATTTACCTCACTTCAATTTCTAACATGAGAAGAGTTTAAATTCTTCAATGTCCTGCATATGACTCTTGATGACAGGCATGGGAAGATCAAATAATTGGACCCTGGAGAGGAGGAGACAGGGGGTTTCTTTTGTTTTGCCTTTTTTTGTTTTGTTTTGTTTTGTTTTACGAGCTAAGGAGAGTTTGAATGTTGGGAGCAAACAGCCACTCTGGAGGGAAAGTGAAAATGCAGAGAGAATGGGCAGCTACACCATGTGAGGAGAAATGATTCCCGCCAGTTCCTTTTTTCGACTTAAGAAAAGGAGCTCTGACTGGGGCTAGGATTCATTCCTCCAGGGCTGCAGTGAGAGGCAGGCACTCCACTTGAACCCCTTGACCTCGGGGAGGAACGGTCCTCTTTCCCCTACTAAATCTTTAGAAAAATATAACTGAAATTTGAAAGCTTTATCATGGAAAAATTGCAAGATACACTCAGGGTGCTGCTACTGTGAGAAAAATGAAAGGGCATGCTGGGATTGAGGGAGAGCGGGGAGAAGAAAGAAAAGCTTAGCATCAAAACGGGTGGGGGGGGAAGGGAGGGAAATGCATGGGACTATGGTGGTGGCACACAGGTGATTTGGTGATGGGAAACCCGCGGGGATTACAATCGAGATGGAAAAAAAAAATGTGCAAAATGATGTAAAAATAAACTTTTGTAATAATTAAAAAAAAAAAAAAGCTTAGCATCTAGGAGGCTTACATATAACCCCAGATTCTGTCAATGTTTCCTTTAGACTTCTTGGACTGAACAGTCTTTCCTCACAGTTGGCGGATGTCTCCACCAGCACAGGGCGGCCGTGTCAGTCAGTACACATCTCTTGAGCTGAGAGAACCTGTCACTAGCACCACACACACCTCAGGCGTCCCCTCCCCCCAACTAACCTCCTGGCTCACAGACATCTAATCACATATCCCTAATTCTAGAAGAAACAGACTTCAGCCACGGCTTCTCACAGAAAGTGTGTCACTGGTTCCCACATCATAATGGTTGAGTGTCCCCTAGCCCCCTCCCCCACCCACCTGTGGCCTGTCTGGTGACACAGCACTGATAGCGTGAAAACCCCACAGGGATGTGCCAGGTGCTGGTAGGCCAGCGGGGCTGAGGTGGTGAGGTGACTATGGCTTTGAAACTGCCTCATGAGACCAGAGTGGCTCTGGCCCCCAGGGGCGGTACAAGTGACTGTGACACCAATGTCCTTGGCAGGAGAGGTGGGTCCCCTCAGGGGGCTTTCTGTGTAAACTTTAGCGCCTGTTTCCACACCATGCACTGCTCGTGCACGGTCTCCTGTAATGCCTAAAATCAGAGTTGACTGTTAAGATACAGTTCTATGTGAATTTGACTCTACTTTAATTTCAATGGACATCACTTGCTTGGGCTTAAGAAGTACCCCCACTTTTTTTTTTTTTAATTGAGATTCAAACAGAACTGGTGTCCCCTCTGCTGACGGTGGCAGCTAGGGCCAGAGGTGGGGGTGGGGGGCCCAGTCCTGACACCAGACAAGCGCAAGTTCACGGGAGGCTGCGGCCTTTGTGACAGAGACGCCGGCTCCTTGGGTCCCGCCACAGCGCCTCGCCCCACGAAGGCCGAGGAAACCATTAAGCCAACCCTATTATAAATACAGCAAGGGCAGGAAAGAAGATGCGTCTCTAGTTTGTGCCCCCGACCACATAGTAGCTGCCAGGGGTTCCCCAGGGAGGCAAATGGAGGAGCCTAGAAGCCAGGGCTGGAAGGGTTGGCGGGCAGCTGCATAGCTCCCTCCTGCCCTCTCCTCCTGGGGTTGTGGGGCACCATTGTTTGACCAGGGGTGGGGGTGGGGTGGTGATTGGTGGGGTTGGGGTGGAGTTGGGGGTGGGTGAGGGTCCCGGAGAGCGCTCCAGACACACACTGCACAAGCAAGCGCGTCCTGGCGGTGGGGCTTCCCAGAAGAGCAGTCTTGGGGACCCCCCTCCCCCCACTCCTCACCCCCTGCCATCCCGCGACAGGGTGAAGGGCGTCCTCGCTGGGTCTTTGTCCAGGATAGCTGATGGCCAGATCCGGGTCTGGGAAACTGGAGTTTCCGGGCCGCAGGGCCCAAAGCCCATGAGTCCGCCTCGCCCGTCTGTCCAGCCTGTTCCCTGGCTCTCGGCGGCGGCGAAGATGGCGATGAAGGGAGAAGATGGAAGACTGGGATGCCTCTGGGCCTGTAGCCCAGAACGCTAAGCTCTCTGGGTTTAGTTACCCTCCAGGTCAGCCTTCTCCCACGGTGGCTGCGGCTACCAGCAGACCGGACAGGGAGTGGCGTCTTCAGGAAGGTTCCGGGAACTGCACCCCTCGCACCGCAGCACGCTGGGCAGCGGCAGTGGCTGGTGTTCCTCAGCCCTAGAGCCCTTTGTGTTTCCTCTCTCCCCTTACTTCAGAGTTCCTGAGAAGAGGGGAGGCAGTGTGTGGATTTGGGGCGCCAAGCAGGTGCTGCAGAGAGAGGGGCTTTCCAGGAGGTGCCTCAGGGTCAGCCCTCTCCCCAAGGGGCCTGGTGCGCCAGGGCCAACCCAGAGCAAAGGGCGCTGCTGCTCTGGCCCCGATTTCAAGTTATAACCACGAACCCCACATGCTGCTCAATGTTTTCTGGTCAACACACTGTTATTGTTGTTTGCTGTTTCTTTGTTTTTATTTATAAATAATCATTCATACAAATTTGTTTGCACCCAAGAACTGGGGTGCAGGCCAGAGGTGCAGGATGGGGGTGGTGAGCGGACTCACAAGAGACAGATTGGGGAGCAGGACAGGCAGATCAACTGAAGTATACTGCTGAGGGGAGCAGGGCGCAGGTCAGGAGAGGTCTGCGCGCCATGTGGGTCAGCTCTGGGCCTGGGGATCGAAGTCGCACTGAAGCCAGCTTTGCAGTGCTGTGCTTCAACCCGCTGTGCCACCAGTTCTTAAATGCATAAATAAAAGTAAACCAAGTAAATTAAAAAAAAAAAAAAAACAGAACCTAGAGGCCGCTCATGGAATGGTGGTGTAGGAAGGGGGAAAACTGTGTTATCCCAAAACGAAGGGATAAAATGTTGGGTCTGCAGATTCCAAAATCCATTTTATTTCTGCTTCTCGGTGCTGCTAAAAGTCATGCCAAATCGACATTCATTTTATAGTGTATAATCTTCAGGGGAGGAGGCGAAGGGGCACGGGCCAGGACAAAGGGAGATTCTTCTGCCTTAAGGCCTCCAGGTAGTGGGCACCACTGTCTGCTGGGAAGTTTTCCCACTTACAGGAGAATGTGAGCTTCACTAATCTCCCCGGCTGCCCTTTTACCTTGGAGGAAAAAGACACATCACAGTGTGTTGCAAATGAGAGCCTCCTCTTTATTTCACAAATAGAAACTGGTTTCTGGGACGGGTGGGGAGAGGACTTTGGCCTTTCCCTGTCTGGGGACACAGGGTCCAGCTTCTGGTGACCAGGCCCATCTGCAAGAAGTCCTGACCTCCCGTGGGTCTCGAGTCAGGGAGTAGGAGCAATGACGTGGGGACATTTCTCGGAGAGGTGAATATCTGCTTGAGGCAGACTCTTCCAGGCAAGTTCTAGGATCCCATATTGGGCAATGCCCATGGGGAGGATGGCACGCACGTTGTTCTGCTCTGGGAGAGACACTACATGCTGGAAGACCAGAGGCCGCGGGGGGGCGTGAGAACTGCTGTAGTACAGGTGGTAAAACAGCCGTTCCCCGGGTGCCAACGGCATGGCCTTTGGGGCCTCTCTGTCGGTGGCCTCTTGGGGTTCTTCCCCCAGGAGCAGCTCCTGCAGCAGCCTCTGGATTCGGGGGGACTTCAGCTGGTACAGGTCCATGAGCTGGTGGAACTCTTGCATCCACCCAGCACTGTCCTTGGGGTACTGGTCCTGCAGCGTCCGCAAAACGTAGTACAGGGCCACGAAGGTCTCCCACGGGGGCACCTCCTCCTTGTGTTTCGAGACGGGCTGTGCCGGCTTCCCCAGCTTGGGTAGTTTGGGAACCCTGCCCTTACCCTTAAAGGCCCAGAAGTCCTTTTGAAACATCAGGGCTAAGGTTTGCTTTTCCACACAAGCGTGAGTGTCGGTGAAAACGTCTCTCACGACGGGATCAAAATGGCGCCTCTCCATCTCCTGCAGGGCGTGGGAGCGCTGGCGGGCCCGCGCACTCCTGTGGGGCTCCCCGAGGAGATGCCAGTTGATAGCCTTTGCGTCTGGGATCCTCTTGGTCACGAGGGGGGCCTTCAGGGTGGGCTCAGCCAAAGGTCTGAGCCAGCTCTCCCGCTCCTTCCCTTTTATAGGAGGGATCACTTTCGGGTACTTTGGGCTCAAGGGCGCCTTCAGGTGTTTCGAGATACCTGTGCTCCGGGGCCGCGGGGCTGGCCTGTGACGGTGCGCGATGGCATCCAGGAGGGCCAGCTGCATCCACTTTACGTTGCCCTTTGAGGTGAGGTCTTGGAGAACCTGGCACAACCTGTGGAAGCTGTTCCTGGAGATCTGTTCTCCGGCCTCCATCCGTTCCAGGACCCAGTGGAGCCAGTTGACGTCTGACAGGCTTACCTCCACCTGTATCTTCTCAGCCGTGGCGGCTGGCAGTTGTGGCTTAGTCTTCTCCATCAGAGATGGACGGTGCCGCATAATCCACTCCCACTTGGTCTCTAAGGGTTTGCCTTGGCTTGTCTGAGCTTCCATGGCCTTCCTCAATAGATGGGACACGTAGGGCGTCTGTATGTCCAGTTCCGGAGACTCCACGTCTGTATCATACCTGCGTGCGGCGGCGGCCGGGTAGCCCTGCGGCTGTCCTTGTTCGTGGATCAGCTTTGTCTCTGCAAATGCCCTGGATGTCTCAGACACTGTGGCCTTAAACTCTCGGGCTCTCTGTTCCAGAGACACAGACTCTGGAATCTTCTCTTCCTTCTCCAGAGATACTGAGATCAGTTTCTTGGAAAGACTTGTCGGCAACCTGAGAGAGATTTTCAGTTCCCTGGAAAGGGCTTTCAGCTCTCGGGAAGGAATTTTTAGCTCAGAAGGAATTTTAAGCTCCCCCAGTTGTACAGCACTGTCCATGAGCTCAGGAATTTTTTTTCCATCAAAAGGGACCATTTCTCCTTCTGTTGGGCTCTTTTTTCCTTTTAACTTCAATAGCTTTTCTAATTTTGAGACTGTTCTTTCCTTGTCTACTCCTTCTTCCAATGAGCGTCTCTCCTTTGCTTCCTTCTTGCTCAAACTTTTCACCTCTTCCTTGGCCACAGCTTCCTCCTCTTTAATCACTTCCTCCTCTTCCTCCTCCTGCACCTTCTTTGTCTTCCTCCTCTTCTTTCCCCTCCTCTCCACTTCTTCCCCCACCTCCTTTAACTCGTCATCCACACCTCCCACCCACTTTATCTCACTAACAGCTTCCTCCTCTTCTTCCTCCTCTTCTTCCTCCTCCACTTCCTCCTCTTCCACTTTTTCCTCTTCCTCCTCCTCCTCTTCCACTTTTTCTTCCTCTTCCTCCCTTTCTTCCTCCTCCTCCTCAGACAGAGTTTCTTTCTCCATCTTATCTAACAGGATTTCAAGTTTCCTAGAAAAGTTCTCTTCATTTTCCAACTCATCTGCTTGACTCAAAGGTGATGGAGACACTTTCTGTGATACATCACCCCTCTTTGGCTCTTTGCTCTTTCTTGACTTTGGACGAAGGGATGGGATTACCTCTTCATCCTCTGTTAATTCTTCTGTTTCTTCTAGTAGTCCTTGCTCTTTTTTTGCTAACCTGCTTTCTTCCTCAATCAGTTTTTCCTCTTTCTTAGTCAGGCTTATCATTTGGTCAGCCAACTCCCTCTGCTTCTTTGCCAGTCTCTTCTCTTCTCTGGTCATTTCTGATTGTTCCTTTGCAACACTCCACTCTTTGCTGTCAAGTGCTTTCTGTAACCTGCTCAGTTTCCTTTCCTTAGCCATGAGTAACCTCTTTACCTTTGCCAATTGTAGCTCTTCCTTGGTCAGTGCCTTTTCCTCTTTGGTAAGTTTTTGAAGTGCCTTTAATATTTTCCTTCTCGCTTTGGGTTCCTTCAAGACGTCCTTGCTCTCTTTAATGGACTTCCTTATTACTTTGGCAAGCTTCCTTTCTTCCTGGACATATAACCTCTCTTTCCGAGTGTTTTCCATTTCTTCCTTGGCAACCTCCCTTTGCTCTGTGGCCAGTATCCTATCTTCATATGACAGTATCTTCTCCTGTAGTGATAACTTCCTCATGGTTTGTTCTAGGTCTTTCTCCGTTGCTACTTCCTGTCCTGAAGTTGCTTGAATCTCATCCTTAGACCGCATTTTCTTTTCTGCCACTCTCTCCTTCTCCTGGGCCAGTTTCTTAATTTCCGATTCCAGTGCTGTTTGTTCCTGAGCAGCATCCCACTTTTTCCGGCTCACTTTCCCTTCTTGGAGCATTATCTTTTCCTCCACAGCTAATTGCAATTTGTCCTGCGCCAGTTTCTGCTGCTTCTCAGCCAGAGTTTTCCTGGCTTCAGCCAGCTTTTTCTGTATAACAGTCAGTTTCTCTTTCTTCTGGGCAAGTGTCTTCTTTTTCTCTGCCACCTGTTTCTCCAGCTGAGCCACTTTCTCCTCACACGCTTTCATTTTCTCCTTTATGTGGGCTAATTTCTGCTTGTCCTGGGCAATGTTTTCTTTGTGCTGCAACAAATCCTGTTTCCTCTGAGTCAGCTGCGCCTTCACCAGAGCCAGGTTCTCCTTCTCCTGAGCCATAGCCATCCTCTTCTGGGATAGTATCCTCCTTTCCTCTGTGAGCTTCTCTTTGCTCTGGATGAGTAATTCCCTCTCCTCAGCCACTTTTTCCTTCCTCTCCATCAACCGTTCCCTTTTCTGGGCCAGTCTTCTCTCTTCTTCAGGTGATTTTTCCATGTCTTGGGCCAATCTGTTTTCTTCCTGGATCAGCAGGTCTTCTTCCAAGGCCAGCTTTTTTTCTTCCTTGGCCAGTTTCTCCTCTTGCCAGGCCAGTGCCTTCTCTTCCTCATTCAGTGCCTCATCTTCCGCATCCAGTTCCTTCTCTTCCATATTTAGTTCCTCTTCTTTCCAGGTCATTTCCTCCTCTTCCCATACTATTTCTTCCAATTCCTGGGCTAGGTCATTCTCTTGACTTATCAGATCCTGTTCCTGCTGGGCCACTCTTTCCAATTTCTGGAACAGTGACGCTTTTAACATAGCTAGCTTCCCTACTTTTCTTGCGAGGGCCTCTTCTTCTACAGCCAGCTTCTCCCATTTCTTGGAGAATGAATTCTTTTTGTGGGCCAATTGCTCCTCTTCCCGGCTTAGCTTCTCCTCTGTTTTGGCCAGTTTTTCCTCTCTCCGGAGAAAGTTCCACTCAGTCTCTGTCGTGTCCATTTTATCATGGGCCATCTTCTCATACTCTGTGATTAGCTTCCTCTCTTCGTGGGCCAGTTCTCCCTCTTTTTGCGCTAGTATCACTTCCTCTTGTGCCAGCTTCCTCTCTTCATGGGCCCGTTTTCTTTCAAGCTGTGCTTGTCTCCACGCCTCCTGGGCCTGTTTCTGTTCTTCCTCTTCTTCTCCCACCACCACTTCATCTCCCTCCCACACCTGAGACAGCAGGGGCAGCAGTTCCTCCTCCGCCTCGGCCACTTCCTGCTCCCCCTCGGACCCTTCCTCTTCCTCCTCTAACACTTCCAGCTCCTCCTCTACCGGTTTCTTCTCCTCAGCCTTTACTGGTTTCTCCTTCTCATCCTCTGGAGGTTTCTCCTTGGACCTAGACGACAGTATCTCTTCCCAGACATATGCCCACTCGTCCCACTTCTTCATCATTTCCTCCTCAGCCGGCTTTTCCTCCTCTGGGACTGGCTTTTCTTTGGCCTCGTGTGTCTCCTCCTCTTCCTCAAGCTCCCTCTTTGCCCACTCTTTCTTCCATTCCCTCCAGGGTATGTGTATCTCACTGTGAATCTGTTTCCACTCATCCCAGGTGTCCCTCCACTGCTTCCAAGACACCTTCCTCTCCTCAAGTGGTGTTTCTTCTTGCTCAGTCACTTTCTCCTCCCCTTTGGCCACTTCCTCTATCTGACTGACCACTTCCCCCTCTATCTGAATGACCACTTCCGCCTCTTTCTGACTGACCACTTCCCCCTCTTCCTGGACGGCCACTTCCCCTCCTCTCTCACCAGCCACCTCCCCCTCCCCCTCCCTCACCTTCTGGCTTATAGCCTCCTTTCCTTTGGGCATTTTCTTCATTTTTTTATCTATTTTTATCTCCTGTGAAACTAATGACATCACTTGCCGAGGGGTCCTTTTAGAGGGTTTCTTTTCTCTCTTCAGTCTTTGCTTTTCCTTCCCGAGGTCTCCTGTCTCTGCAAAAATCACTTTTTTTTTCTTGCCTTTTTTGGGGCTCACCCGGGTTTCTGTCAAGTCCTCCTCACCCCCTACTTCCTCCGGCACTTCTTGCTCTTCCTCTTTGGGCATTTCTTCCTTGTGGGTGACCACCAACTCCTCTCTGATGGCTGTATCCTGAGTAAATGCTGTTTTCTCCTCTGGCCAGGCCTCGTCCCAGTCAGGAGTCTCAACGAGATCACTTTCTTTCTTCAGCAGGGGGCAGATCTCCTGAAAGAGCTCCCAGCTAGGGTGTCGATCAATCAGGACCTCCCGAGCCCTGGTCACGATCTCGTTGTTCAGAGATTCTGACATTTTCGTTTGGGAACCAGATATCCTTAAGGTCATGAGACGACAGAGGTCATCCCGCCACTTTAAGACCTCCCCACGGATGGCCCTGGAGCCAGGCAGGCCAGCGGTGCCTCGCCCGCTGGCTTTCTTCTTCACAACCACTTCTTTCTTTTCAGGCTCCTGAAGTGTCTCCATTGGAATGTCAGGACTTTTTGTCTTTTTGAGCTTCTTTATGGGTATCTGAGTTGCTTTTTTCTTGCCTTTTTTGTCCCGTACTTTCTTCCGTGGCTTTACGGGCAGTGCATCCTGTGACGCACTTATCTTGGAAAGTTCTGTTTCTTCATCTTTTATAATGAGGATTGAGTGCCTTCTGCCAGAAATGACTATCTCTTCTACCTCTGGGGGACGGTCACCTTCATCCTCTGAGGAAACTGGCTTGACAGCCTCTAGGCCCATCTCCTTTATCTTCTTGAGTCCCCGCAACCATTTTCGGGCTGGTGGGGGAAAAAAAAAAAAAAAAACAAGAGATGCAGGTAAGGAAAGCTTGGGAGGCTTAAGTGGAATCCTTCCCAATATCTGGTATGAGGTCAGAGGGATGCTATAAAAGAATCTGCAACGGAGGGGGATGAAAGGGGGCTGAGGCCTTAGAAAATAAAATAGACATTCTTCTTGCTTAATCCCCAGAGTTCCCCCACCCCCACCACATACCCCCAAATCCTACAGAATAGGCCTTGGAGTCTGCTGAGTTGGGGTGGATTCTTCCCAGGTTTTTTTTCTACAAAAAGGTCTTTCCACTTAACTCTCTTCCTATTTAGTATCTTTTGATCCACCTTAGTACTAACCACCCTGAGCGGGCCCTGAGCCATGCACCAGATCACTCCATACATACCATGTTTTTTCCCCCCTGCCCGGCCCCGCCTCTGGCCTTTGCTGGGCTTCACAGGGACTTCATGTTCCTTAGCAATTATAGTGGGCTCTGAGGGCGCCCCGTCTAAGAAGACAGCCAGAGTAAACTCAGGCTTTTTGTGTTCGCGGGACAAGGTCAGGTTTTCATCCAGGCGCTTTTCCACTTGAGTGTAAAGGATGGGGAGGTCTGTGGCTCGCATCCCCAGCAGATGGTCCAGAGGCTTCTCCCCGACCATTTCCTGCCTGTGAAAGCCGAGAAGAGGAGGGATCATGCAGAGTCAGGGGCAAGAGGGAGGAGGAGGAGGAAGAAATTGCTGTGGAGTGAGCAGGTGGCCTGGCAGAGTGGCCAAGCTCCAAGAAAGAAAAAGTCTAGGGGGCCCTCCTTGGTGGCACAAGGGTTAAAAGCATAGCTCAGTGGCCATCTCCATACCCACTGCTGTACAAGTCCAGCCAGGGAGCTGACCCACAGGGTACAGCAGACCTCTCCTCTCTCGCCCACTGCTTCCCGCAGCAGTATATTTCGGTAGATCTGCCTGATCTGTCCCCTGTTCTGCCTCTGGTGGATCCTCTCATTCCTCTTCCCCGCACTTCTGGCCTGTACCCCCATTCTTGTATACATAAATAAATAAAAAATAACTCTTAGAAAAGAAGAAGTCTAGGAAGCAAATATTGTAACAGGGAAGTCCCCAGGAAGAGGGTAAGTTCCAGGTTCCCTGCCCCACCCAGAAGGAGGGTCGAACTGAGCAGAGAAGAGAAGGAATCTGAAGAAGGACAACGCAGGATGGAGAGCCAGAAGGAGACCTGAGGGAGCCACATAGAACAGAGAAACATGTGAAGAAACTTTGCTTGCTTCTGGCCCTAGACTGGGTGAAACGGATGTGGGTGAGAGGTTGACTGTGGCAGTGTTTATCTTGATGTTGATTCTGCTCTTTTCCGCCCAGACTTGTCTGGCCATGTCTGACCCATAGGGTCCTGGCCGAAAGGTGCTTTAGGCTTGTGGGGGGCTTTCCGGCCTGGCTTTGGGCCAATCCCTTCTGGGTGGACTTTTGCCCACGAGGAGATGGGGAACTTCGGGTGTTTGATTTAGAAACTCTATTCTTTGTCTTCTGTGTTGTATACTCACTGTATTAAAGTTCCTTTCCATGAAAGGTCTTATGTGTTTTGTCTTGATGCAGCAGATGGCAGAACCTATTGAGAGCAGGCAGGTTTGGGGGTTCGGTGATGCCCTTCTCTCCCTGCCCTGTAACAAAATGTCAGTGCATGGAGTGACCTGTACGGCGGCTCTGTGACCTGAATGGGGGCAGGAGATGAGGGTGAAGAGGGGGAGGCGGGAACAGCAGACGGAGTGGAGAAAGGTGTGAGTAGTTGGGGAATTGTCAGACCCGTCCAATGTCCAGCGGGAAGAGGCTACGAGTGAGGGGGGGGGGGGAGGCCAGGGAAGACTTGTGAAGAGGGAGCAAAGGAAGGAAGAGGGAGGGTAAGTGGGTGAGGGCAGGAGAAAAGGCGAAGTTAGTCACGAACTCACTGCATCTCCCGGAAAGTATCTCGGTTCTGGATCAAGTTCAAAAGGGAGCTCTTGGAGTGGATGCCGGTCTCGGCCATCAGGCTCAGGACCTTTTCCCTCACTCTTTGGTCCTTGTCCATCAGCCCTTGGGCCAGCGGCATGGCAAAGAGGTGAGTAATGATGCCGAGGCGCTTCAGCCCTTCCCAGGCCAGCTCTCGGATTAAAGGGTTGGAGTTGGTGGTGTCGTCCAGCAGCCGGTGGGCCGTTTCGGAGCGCAGAGGCGGCGACACCTCGTAAGAGGCAAAGATCTGCCCCAGGGCGCCGATGCACAACTGGTACTTCAGCGGAATGGCGTGGAGCATGATGTTGAGGACCGTCTCGATCATGCTGCTCACAGCAATTTCACTCATCCGCTTTCCCAGCCAGCTGCGGTTGGCCGCGTCCGTCAGGACGCTGTAGGTTACGTCCTTGGACGCTCTCTGCTCTAGGAAGTGCTCGCTCTCCTTTTCCACTGTCTGTTCTTCGTGTTCAATGATAGGCTTTACCCTCCCGTGCCAGAAGACGAATTGCGACTTATCCCACTCCAGTTGCCGCGTGGGTGAGTGCAGGCTGCACTGCAGGAATATCGGGCTGCCCTCCGGCCAGAGGCGGGCCCGGATCACTGAGTTGGGGATGTAGCCGTCGGGAGCAAAGGGCCAGTCCCGCCCGTGACCGAAGTAGCACCGCAGGATCTGATAGGGGTTGAGTCCGTCCCAGCTGGTGAGGTTCAGCTGTGGCGGCACCACATAATGGGGCTGAGACTTGCTGTCCTTCATCCAGTCCGCCTCGTCCTTGTTCAGGGAGTCGCATATGAAAGTGGACCGTATCACGGTGCCCCCCTCCTCGTCTTCCTCGACCACGTGTGGCACGGAGTGGTCGAAGGCAATGGCCCGCTTATTGACAAGCTTCTCCAGCCCCACCAGCTCCTGTCTCCCTTGCCCGTGGTAGACGTATTTGGGCACGAACATGGTCTCAAAAGAGAAGAAGAAGCTTGGCATGAAGGGCCTCGGGAGCTCCAGCACGTCGTCCAGCATGCTCATCAGGCTCAGGCGGGACAGCAGTTCTGGCGGGATCAGTCGTAAGCAGGACACCAGATAAAAACTCTGGTTGAAGGTCACGAGCAGGTCGCCGCGGTCGTTGGCGAAGCAGAGCGGGCCGAAGTGCAGCGACGAGTCCAGCATGGCGATCAGCCTGCCGTGGAAGTTCCAGATGCGGACGGTGCCATCGACCGCACCCGTGACGAAAAGACTCAAGGGCAGGCAGACGTCAAAGGACGTGATGGCGCACTGGTGCAGAGGCAGCGTCTCGACGAACGACGTGCCGCCCGGGGTCTGCGAGGACATGAAGTCGTGGAACTTCCAGAGCCGCAGGCAGTTGGTCTCGGTGATGGCGCCCACGGACTTGGGCAGGAGTTTCAGGTGTTTCAGCTGACAGCTGCTGAAGATGCTGGCGAGGGGCCGCAGGTGGACATGGATGCCCTCCAGCACGGCCTCCGACAGGTGCACGTAGTCATCCATCCCGTAGGAACAGAGCAGAGAATCCCCGTGGCTGCCTGAAACCCACCGAGGCAGGGTGCAGAGCGCAAGCACGGCCCCGAAGTGCGTCATTTTCTCCATGCGCGCACAGCTGTGCTGGGACAGCACTCTTATCACGCCACTCTGGTGCCCAGCAAACATCAGCCCTTCCAAGCCCCGGCCCAGGTGGAAGTGGCCGTAGGCCAGGCACTGGACCCAGTCCTGCGTGTCCGGGGTGGTGCACAAGAGATACTTGGCGGGGCACGGGCAGCGGGTTGTGTCGAACACCAGCACGTCCGTACTGCCGGTTGCCACAAAGAGCTCCTCTTTCTCTGGGTCATAGGCCCAGTCCACTGCCCTGTCCAGGATTGAGTAGGGCCAGGTGACCACCAGAAGCTCCCCGGTGACCGGCGACACAAAGCGCAGCAGGCCGTCGTCGGTGACACACAGGATCCGGAACCAGTTGTGACCGCAGTGAACGCGCCGCACCTCCTGGGGCGAGGAGCCGCAGACGTTGAAGAGGTTGTAGAAGGAGGGCAGGTGGCGCAGGGAGAACGTGTGCGTCGTCTGGCAGAAGAAGGTGGTGTTGTCGATGAACTGGAGGCGGAACAGATACTCGCCGAGCTCCAGCCGCCGCAGCAGACTCCCCGAGGTCAGATTCCACTCCTTGATGATGCCCTCCTTGCCCCCCGTCAGCAGGGTGTGGGCCTCCGGCCGGCTGCGGATACACATCACCGCCATGGAGTGGGCCTTGAAGCTGTGGAGGGAGTAGCTCTCGCTGAGGTTCCAGGCTTGGATTTCCCCGGCCTCGTTGCCTGCGTAGAGAAAGCCCTGGTCGAAGCAGGTGTAACAGCAGGTGATGGGCGAGCCGGAGGTGGTGGACGTGAACCTCTTCACCTCGGCCAGCTGGCCATAGCCCTGGCGCTCCAGGACCCTCACTGTCGTCTCGCACAGGGCTAGGATGCCACCGTTGGGGCCATTCAAGCTGATGTCCTGGACGAGCTCATCACTGGTCATGGTGACCGTGTGGGCTATCTGGAGGCCCCTGCCACTCCGCTCAATGATCCAGGTGACCACTGCTCCCATGATGCCTGACAGCAGCATCTTCATTTCTGGGTCATAGCAGAGGCAGCTAATGTTGAAGCGGCAGGGCACGATCCCCAGGGACTTGAACGCCCGGAAGTGGTCACCAAACAGCCTCAGGATCATGTCGCCGCAGTAGGCCACGAGGATGTGGAAGGACCCCGTGTGGACCATGGACTGGATGGGCGGTAGTCGGTCAGTCATGGAGAATGTCTTCTTCTCGACATTGTCATCCAGTTTGTTCTTCACCCATACTACAGTCTGGAAGAGAAGACAGGAAACTGCCCAGCAAAAACAGTTGAAGGGGAAGGGCCAGACTTCTGGGTGTTACCCCTGTTACACTGAGGGTGACCTGGAAGACTCTAGAGGGTGTTCACTCCCTGGTGGTGGGGATTGGAGCTACTGTAGCAGCAGGAAGCCTAGGACTCTTTCCCTAAATGCCACCTTCCTGATGGGAGCCCTAAAATCTACTCAGTGTGGAGACTATTGGTGGAGAAAGGCTGGGGGAGGTGGGGAACCCTGGATCCAGGCTGCACTCATTCTACGGGTCTATCTTAACTTTGTCAGTCAGGGGTGAGCACTTCTATGGGCGCGGCCCCAGTCAGACGGGCTAAGGAGGAGAAGAAAGACGAGGCAGCTTTACCTGAACTTCTTTAACGCTCGTTGTCACCCACGAGAAGGAGACGAAGAAGTTGGCGTCACTGAAGTAATAGCATATAAGTGGCATGTGGTGAGGGTAGCGAGACTCTCTGAACAGTATCACGGAACGGTCACTCAGCACCACGATGTTGTTCTTTGAGCCATCTCCTGTGGGCTGGGAAGAGGCATGGCACAAACCTAGAGGCCAGGACCAGCCACAGTAGAAGCGTTTCCCAGTTGGTCCTGGACCCCAAAGAACCACCCACTAATTATCTGTGACGCCTGCACTTAGCAACAAGACTACCTGCACAAGAGACAACTTAGCTGGGCCCTCCCTGGTGGCACAAGGGCTTAAAGCACGCTGCTATGAAGCCGTCCTCAGCCACTGTAGCACAAATTCAATCCCCAGCCAGGGAGCTGAGCCACACAGCCTGGCAGACCGCTCAGCAGTGGGCTTCATCAATCTGCCTGTTCTGCTCCCCACTCTGTCTCTGGGGAATCCTCTCAAACCCGGCACCTCTGGCCTGTACCCCAGTTATTGTATGCATGAATAAATAAATATTTGAAAAACAAAAAGCGAGAGAGAGAGCTTAGCCCCTGCAGGGCCTACAATAACCAAGTTTACAGTGTGAGCACAGGTGCAAACTGACATTTTTCCAACCTGAGGTGTGTTCTTCCTTGTGTCAAAAATGTGGATGTCATAAAAGACACAATTAGCAAATGGTCCAGGCAAGTGTGTCATGAGTTCTCCACATGTAATGTCACAGATTGTCCCGAGGGTTAGTGCAGCTTTAAGTCATTAAAACTGCTCCAAGTAAGGTCTTTAAAAATACAACATAGTGGCCCTTCCTGGTGGCACAGCAGGTTAAACACAGCACTAAGAAGCTTAAGCCACTTTCACGTGAGTTCGATCCCCACCTGCCCCGGAGGTGACCACTTGGCGAGGCTGACCTCTCCTGACCCGCCCGCTGCTCCCCTCAGCAGTGTACTTTGTCGATCTTCCTGTTCTGCTCCCCGCTCCGTCTCTGGTGAATCCTCTCACCCTCCTCATTTCTGGCCTGTACCCCAGTTCTGTATGAATAAATAAATAAAATCTTAAAAAAAAATACAACATAGTTATCCCACAGAGCTGGCTTCTGGGGTCCTTTCACACAGGCAACCGCAGCAAAGCTGGGTGGGCAAAGCTGGGTGGCAGGTGTTCTCTCTAATGCGCCACAGGGTTCACCTTCCAGTATCAAAACGTCCTTGCAAGAGGTCCCTTGACTCATTTGGAAATTGACGGCACACTTCCCTCTAAGGTGAGAATTTCGCGAGGATCTACTCTGCCTGCTGCCCATGTCCAGGGCTTCTCTGAAGTGCTCTTAATGCAACACAGACATACGTTACCTTGCTTTTATCTAGCACCTCATTTAGGACGTGCTTAAAGTCCTTCCAAAGGGGAATGAGTCTGGGGGCAGACATCACTCGGATTATCCCCTCATCCTCTTCAGGACCGTTGCATAAGAACCTGTGGGGATCAGAAGAGGCCGGCTTAGCTAGGACTGCTTCTGGGGGATCTAGGAATCAGAAGGCAAGATCCACGACCTTGTGGTTTCTGAACACTGTTTGAGTGTCACGGACTTTTTAAGACATTTAGTCCTCATTACAGCCCACTATGGTCGCCATTGCTACATTTTACAGATGAGGAAAGTGAGGCTTGGAGAGAGTAAACAGAAGAGCCGGGAGGTTGGTCTTCGGGGGGTTGGATCTTAACCCAGGGGAGTATTATGGGTGAAGCGTACAGAGAAACCTTTAGAGGAATGCCAACACAAGCAAATCGTCATCCTTTGTTGGAGGTGATAGATCAAGGACATTTTATGAGAACTAAGGCATGGCCCTCCTGCACCAGGATTCCTGGGGGTTGGGCACACCTTAAAATGCTGATTCCCAGGTCCTGCCTTACTTAGACATATTCAAGCCCAATCATGGTCCTACTGAAGCCCCACTGGGGAGGTGAGATATAGAGGTTTTAATTGGTTCTGTGGACATTCAAGTCTGACCGCTGAAGCAGGAAATTGAGATGTCCAGTTAGCAGGACCGGAGAGAGAATGCTGCTATTTAGACTTGCAGGCTTCCCCAGGCTTGTGGAGTCCAGGAGCTGTCGCATCTGGGATGTGTCTGGTCACACCAACCTCCTCCTCCCCGTTCCCTTCTCTGATTTTCATGAGGACATATGTCTACTGCTCCCGGATGGATTGTGAATAAGTCCTACTTTTCACAAAGCTCTCTGTCAGGGATTCTGTCCTTACTGGTCTGAGAGAGAACTTGTTTTCCTCATTTGTTCGATGAGGAGACAGTAAAAATGTGTCTTTCCTCTTTCACAAGGCTGTTGCAAAGATCAGGTAAGATAATTCACGCGAAGAACCTTTCCAGTACACGCTGGAGCACCAGTTATGTAGCTGTCTTTAGGCTGACTTGGTTCCCAGGAAAAACCATGGCCCTTATTTCCTTTCACCACCCTTGGATGACCAGTTGCCCTGAAAATGTGACCGCTAACTATAGTCTGGCCTGCAGGGGGCAGTGGAGGCCACCCCTACGCCTGGAGCAGAAGCAAACCGGTTTACAGAAGCGATGCCCAAGTGCGATTCCCCACAAGGGCGCTATCAGCGACACCCGAGAACTTGTTAGAAATGCAAATTGCCGAGCCCCACTCCAGACCTCCTGATTTGGAAACTCTGGGTCGAGCCCCCCCCAATTGAGTTATAACAAGTGCTTCAACTGATCTTATGCACACTAGTTTGAAAACCACTGTTTTGAAGAGCTATTGGATCTCCAAATCGGTTTTGCTCTTGAAAACCACTGTTTTGAAGAGCTATTGGATCTCCAAATCGGTTTTGCTCTGCTTTCTGAGGCAAGGTCAGTAGGTCCCACCCTGGGTGTGGCTGAACCTCGGTCATGGTTGTCACGGATTTGAAGGCTGGATTCGGGGAGCAGGGGGGAGAGAGTGTAGAGTGGGTTAGAACACACACACACACACACACACACACGCTTTCACATCAATCCCTTCATTAGTTCTGGAAAAAATGAGAGGCAGGTGTGATCATGTCCATCTTATATATGTGAACGTGATTTCAGAGAGGAAAAGGGGTGTGTTCAGGGTTTGCAATTGCTGACTAAAACTAGGTTCTAATCTGCAGTTCAGGACTCTTCTGCCTATAAAAGATGGAGCCGGGTCTGCCCGCCTGCGCTGAGGACACACTCTGCCCACAGACCCGGCTAACGGGAAGTGGAGGATGGCTTCCAGACTCCAGTATCTCCTTTCCACTCCCCTGCACACCGCCTTCCTGTTCTTTCTATTCTGTCCCCCTGTAAGCCCGTACTTGCTGCTCTTCGGACCAGCCTCCTGGAGCATATGATCTACAGGCAGAGTACACAGTCACTTCTTCCAGAACTCCAGCTCCCTTGAGGCAGCCACCTGCCAACAGAGGGCCAGTCCCCACAGCTCAGACTTATCCTACTGGCTCTCAAATAACTGCTGAGAAAGAACAGTCACTTGTAGCAAATCTGTCATCACTGCCTTCAGTTTCCATGGACCCTAATATCTCCTCTGGGTCCCAGTTCTCTTGACAAAGCAAGCATTTGGGGCCCTTCAGGGACCCATTCCTAGGGGGTCCTGAGAAAGATGGCCTTCAAACCCCACACCTCTGCTTGTTTTTTGCCACCCCACACACCAGCGTCACAGGTTTCCCCTAGAGGAAAGCGCGCTCCTGTAATAGCTCACATTTGATTACCTCATCTTACGGTCTGCAGCAGCAAGTCCGTAACGAGCTCTAGATGCCTTAAGTCCCAACACTCTTGATTTTAGTATCTTGATAACCCAATGATCCAATGGAATTCAAGTGCAGGAGCCAACTTCGGGGAGAGAATAGTTGGGGCCAAGATAGGGCATGTTCTGCTGACTAGGAAGATAAACTGGGTCTGTGGCTGTGCATGGGCTCTGGCATCTCGCTCTTTCCCCTGGCTGTAGTCCCCTCCAGTGTGCTGTGACATGGTGCCAGGGTGAGAGGGCAGCACCCTTACTGCTTTTGTAATAAGGAGCAGTGCCTCCAGGGGGCACTGCGCTCCACAACACTGGGGCTCCTAGGCTCTCTTGGGAAGGCTCATTGGCTCTACATCCCTGGTAGAGGAGGGCACCCAGACATGGTACATGCCCCTTAGAGTTTACATCCTGCAGGGAAGGCAGGCACCAGAGAAAAGGCTAGTCATCAAACAGATGGCGATGAGAATTCTTTGGACGTTTCTACAGCTTTTAATTTCTTCCATCTGAAATTACAGGCACACCTTGGAATGCACCTTGGGAGTATTGGAGGGCTGATTCCAGGCTGCTGCGGTAAAGCAATAGAGTCACACAAATTTTTAGGTTTCAAAGTGCATGTTAAAGTTAGGTTTACGCCAGACTCTCATATAGTCAGGATGCAACAGCATCATGTCTGAAAACAATGTATAAACCTTAAATCTAATGAAGAGACAGGAAGAGGGTGCTGGAAAATGGTGCCCTCAGACTTGCTCCTTGTAGGATTCCACAAACCTTCAATTTATAAAATCTCACTCTCTACAAAGCCCAGTAAAGTGGGGCGCAATCAACCAAGAGATGCCTGCGATTATGCTAGTAATTCAGCTTTAAGACAGAAAAGTAGAAAGTGCTGTGAGTACCCCTAGTGAGGAGACTTAGTCACCCAAAAGGACGGTGACGCGTTGTCCACACTTGGAGGTAGGGTCCAGCCTGACAGGCAGGTCTTACTTTTATGCAGGCTGCCCAGTTGGCCTCAGAAGAGCCTCATTAGTTGACTGGAGAGTCTCAGGGCAATCTTGGCTTGCCGATTTCTGGAAGACATTGGTAAGGAAGGGCCTGGGGATGCCCCTCTGGCCTTCCAGGTGATTCACACGCCAGGCCTGGGGTAGATGCACTTCGTTTTCTTCATGGACAGAGATGCTTTTTCCAGGCTGACAGCCTACATTATCAGGGTGGTTTAGTTCATGGAAGTAATCATAGCCTTCAAAACTGATTAGGTTGTAAAGTGGCAGTCTCGTGTTTTCCACACATTGCTGAATGATTCTGTTGGCCATCTTCCTCCACTTAAACGGGCATGGTAAAAATATTCAGAACATATTAAGGAGTATGTAGTGAAATTTGCTTTTTGTTATTTTTATTGAGGTAATGGTTTATAACACTGTATGATTTAGAGGCACAGGTATATGTTAGGGGTACTGGTTCACACACTTTAGATATCTGTACCATACCATGGCCTCCTACCAAAGCATCGATATCTAATGTAATTCTCACACCCAACCACCAGTTTTTGCTTCACAGGTGACCCTAGAAATATCGTCTAGGGGTGTTCTGTACACAAACACATAAGAAAAGAATGCTATTTTCTTATACAAGTATATAGAATACTATATACTTCTCTGAAACTTTTTCTCACCTAAGATAAAAGATCAATTCTTGAAATACACATAATAGGCTCAGTTTTTGCCAGCTGCCACCTGCATGGTATTCCATGTGGCTGGACTACTGAATTATCCCGAATGTCTACGAATGGACATAGGATAATTTCCAACCTTGTATTATGACCACCACACCACAATTACCTTGGCTAGTATCTGAGTTTTAACTCAAAATGTAAAATGGAAACAATGTCTTTTTCATGAAACTTAACTCATCGGGGATCTACTGGGTTTCCTTATTAAAGTTATTTCCATCCATTTCTTTTAAGTGTGACATTTAAAATTGCACGTGACTTCCATTCATTTTATTTTACCATCTAGGACCACTTCGATGTCACTGTCCCCTGCTGCCTGACACCCCCACTGCGCTTAACACCCTGAGCGTAGGAAGCCAGTTTACTCTTGATTTCTCCCCTGTCCCGACCATTCGCTAACCTGGCGCGAAGGTGGTGTTGGATACATTTTTGTTGGAGGAATGGGCACGTGGGTGACCTCTGCCCTGTCCCAGGAAGAAGATTCCCAGCTTCGCGTCTACTGAGTGAGCATCTTCTTGGAAGAATGAGGAGGGAAGGGCATTGACTCGGGCTTTCTGACCAGAGGACCGTGCAATTCCAGACAATTCCCTCGGTAACCTCTATGGAGGAGGAGTGACAACATCCGCTTTTTGGAAAGGAAAAAAAAAAAAAAGGGGGTGGTGGTGGTGGTGTCGGATCCATGGTTACATCAGCACAGGACTAGATTCGGACAAAACTCCTAGGTCGCCAACCACCCCGCCCTCAGCAGGTGTGATCAGCGAGAGAACGCAGCCCCCCCTGGGAGGTGGTCCTGAGACTCCCGCCAACCGCAGAGCTCGGGTACTAAGGCGGGACTCGGGCGCCCCGACCCGGGTCGCTGCACCTCGGAGGCGCCTGGTCTCCAGGTGGGCGGTGAGGAGGGCGTGTCCGCCTCTCAGGGCGTGGATCGCGCCCTTACCTGCGACTACGGGCTCCTTTCGGACAAGGGACGGGTGCGGCGGCGAGGCGGCACCCGAGCGCTCCTGGGTAGAGGATCAGCCCTAGGAGCGTCTGAGGGGCGACCTCGGGGAGGCGGCGGGAGGCCTCGATCCCCTGAGCGGTTAGTCTCCGATCCGGCGCGGGTCGGACTGAGGGAGGCGAGGGGAGCGAGTGCGCGTGCGCACTGGCGCGCGCCCGGCAGGAACCGGCCTAGCGCGAGACCCTGCGCGCGCGCATTCGAAAGGAAAAAAAAAGTCTTCCCCGCGGGGGCCCGCGGCAATATAGGCCGGCGTTGGCCGCCGAGCGCGCGTGCGCGAGCGCGCACAGACGCCCTCCGCCGCCGCTCCCCTCCTCTGGGGCGGTCTAGCGCACCGCTCAGCGGCCCCCACCTCTCCCGAGGCTCGTGCCCTCGGGGTAAGTGCCGCGCGCCTCACGGAGAGGTACGGTGAGGGCCTGCGGAAGGAAAGGAGGAGGGAGGCCGGGCTGGAAGACGGGAATAAACCTCCCTGGAGGAACGAGGAGCGCGGCTCCCGGGTTCGAGTCAGCACAAGACACACCTCCATCCCTCACGCCCCTCAGGGCTGCGGAAGTGCTCTGGAGACCGGAGCGGCAGGGGAGGCGACAGGTGGACTACCATTCCCAGAAGGCGGCGCGGTGTGGCGCCTACTGCTCCCGGCAGCACCTGCGCGCCAGGCTTTTTTCAGTTTGCTGCCGCCTAGGGTGAAACTACAGTGCCCAGGAGGCCACGCGCGAAGCGGCTTGGAAGTGGGCAGCCTGGAAGTCACTCGGGCCACCGGGGCTGGCGGCGTCTCCAGCGAGAGGCGCGGGGCCGGACGCCGCGAACGTGAGGCCCCCGGGGAGGGCAGCCGGGGCGCCCAGGTATGTGGCTCCGGGTGCAAGGGCGGCCTCGAGCAAGGGCGGCGGGGAATCGGTGTCCACTCGGATCCCGACGGTCAGCACGGGCGGCCAGCCGGGTGTAGGCATCAGTTGTGGGGGGCGGCGGCGGCGGCGCCGGGACTCGCGCTCTCCGGACCTGACCGGACTCGTGCCCACATGGCTCAACTTTCCAGGCATGGAACGCCGCGCTGTGCGGAAGAGCCTGGAGTGGGAGTCGGGTAGCCGTGGGTTCGCGTCCTGCCTCTCCCACTACAGAGCTGAGATCTGGGGTAACCGCGCCGAGTTGATGGAAAGGGGGAAGAAGAGTCTCTCTTTTGCTGGGATTCTGTCGCGATTCGGCAAATAGAGCATTTGGCACATGGAAGGCACTTGTTACGCGTTTGCGCTATTGTTAGCTGCTGAGAAATGGAGTGAAGGGATTTTCTACTGCATAGGGTTAGTTGAACGTGTGCTTGTAAAGGTCCGAGTGCATAGTTGGCACTCAATGCAGGGATGCTGCTCTTAGCTGAAATTATCTCATTAGGGCTTTGGTTTGGGAGGCAGAGAGACTCTGGTTCAAATTTAGGCTCAGCCATTCACCAGCTGTGTGACCTTGGGCTGCTGATTTCACTTCTCTGTGTCCTGGTTTTCCTATCCATAGAACAGGCGCTTTCATGGTTCCCCTTTCGTTGAGTTATTGTGAGGTTGCACCGGGAAAACCATGTGTAAAGTGCTTGGAGCAGCAGCGGGCACGTAGTCAGCATTCAGTAAATGGTATACAGCGTTTCCCCAGTGCCTGGGAGCCCCTCCGCGGGTGATGCTCCTGGCTCTGGTCTGCCTAGGTCTGCCTCACCGGCCAGACTCAGAACTGGTTTAGTTCACTTCCTCTTGCATGCTCGGGTTCCTCGTTTGTGCAATTGGGTAACAGCACCAACCTCAGAAGGCTTCTAAGGATTTGCTGAGATTGTATTCGGGAGCCATATCTCACTAAGTAACAGCTCTCATGTATTCTAATTGTTCTTCTTTGATGTTCTCCATCTGGCCCAGAGACTGCCTAACTGTGGGCTGTGACATGACAGCCCTGAGCTCCCCCACACGTTCACTCCCAGCCTCAGTGGCCCATCTGTGAAATGGTAGTCATAGGGCTTCTGTGCCAGGGTTGTTCTAAGGATTCCAAGAGATAATTCACGTGTAGTGGTTAGCATAGGGCTGGGTGCATAGTAAACACTTAATACGGGGATCTTGGTTTTTCTTGATACAGGGCCTTTGCTATTTCTGTTTTTATTTACAGGGATTTTTACTTCACAAAGGTCAAATTGCAAACATACTGCAGTATAACGACCTGAGAAGAAATGGGGTTGACTTGGTATCAGCAGCACCCTTCTGGGCTCTCCCCACCCCCTCCTGCCAGTACATTCTCTCCCACGCTTTATGTACTGGCCCAGCGTTGTGTGCACCTGACTGTCTCAAAGCTCTATTAACCCCCGGCGCCCCCACTCTGTCCACGGGTGACTGTCCCATGAACTAGTCTGTCCAACACAAACGTCTTCTCAGAGCGTCTTGCAAGATGGGCCAACATGGACCCTGTTGCCTAAGCCAGAAACCTGGGAGTCGCTCTTCACCTGGGGCCTTCCAAGGTCCAAGAGACTGGCAAGAAGGTTGAAGCCGCTCTTTGCTTGGAATACCATTTCATTGCCCAGTCTTTGTGACAGGGGCTGAAAGTTCTACCTTTTCTGACCTGTTTCTTTCCTGGCTCCAAGGAGTAATGAATGCAAAACAACAATTGTTTTCCCAAGGGGCCTGGGAAGGCTGTATGGGGCAATGAATGTGGACTTAGCTGGAGTGAAATGACCCCCAGGGGTGGCTTAAAGGCCTGATTTTCAGGAAACCCATTTCTGCAGTTTTCACCTGGCAGAACTGGGCTGGGTCTTTCTGAAAAGTTACACTGTGTCAGTCAGTTATAGTAACTAGTGAGAAGGTGGCCATTCATTCCTTTCGAAGGCAGCACACACCCCCAGGAGAAGACTGGGAAGGGAATTGACTGGAGCTCTGTTTAGGTCCAGTCTGTGGTCGGAAACCTGTCATTGTTTGATGATGGGAAACCATCGTGGTTTCAATCAAATTGAGGGTGGCACTAAATTTACCAAGGTGTTTTAATAAAGCAGTGACTTTAAAAAAAAAAACTTGTTAGTGACCACAGCACGTGGCTGTTTAGCTGTGTGTGGAATGGTCTAAGAGTTGAATGTGAGCCTGTTTTTCAGACATTGCAGTTGTTGCGTGGTAAATCAAAAATGGAATTCAGAATGTGCGGTGATTGGCGCCTTTTTTATTTCCAGCAGAGCACATTTTGCTGATGTATTTCAAGCTTAGGTTTTAAAAAATGATCCCCTGGGCGAGTAGGTTAAGGTAACAGCTTAACCTTGTTAAGGGTTTAACTCACAAAAATCTAAATTAAATGTATTTATGTTTTAATAAGAGAATTAAATGGTCATTTCCTTTCAGGTGTTTATTTTTAGCTGATAGAATAAAGCAGTTGGACCAGTTTGTGCTTTCTTGAAGATTGCTACTACACCTGGTTTTTTTCTTTGTTTATTTGGGGTTTTTTTTGGATTGCTGTGGTTATGGACTTGATGTATGTGTGTGAGAATGGGTTGAATTTGATTGAAAAAAGTCGTGCAAAGAAAATGTCTCTTATTTGTGATTATCAGACAATCAGAGCTGCATTAGGCAAAAAGAGGTGCCACTCTCCACTTTAGAACCCTCACTCCAGAGGTAACCATTTATCCTGACAGTGAGTATTGATTAAGTCTCCACTGTCAGCTCTTGCAGCTCCAGTGGTGAACAAAATGGATCTAGGCAGGCGCTCCCATAACCCTTCCTGTGCTTGTAAGGTTATGTGTGCCTCCTCCTTCACACCCCCCCAACCGGAGCTGCGGCTGTCAAGGTACACTCTTTGTGACTTGACTTTTTCAGTGAATGACAGGCCGTATCACTTCAAGTCATTACATGCAGCTCTGACTCATTCTCTTAACAGCTCGACGCACACGCTACAGTATGGAGAGACCATGCTTTATTCCATCATTCCCTGCTGGACATTTTGGTTAATTCCGGGATTTCTTTTACCTTCACAAACATGCAGTCAGCAAGCCTCTTGGTGCAAGCGTGATGTGGCCTAGTGACTAAAAGCATGAACTGTGGGCAGTGAACGAGACTCCTTTTCTCCTAGGTTTCCATTCTAGCTGGGGAAGCACCCCATAAACAAAGCCATATCAGGTGGTGCTAAGTGTCATGGCAGAAATCACCGGTGAGGGGATAAAGGGTGCCGATGGGCAGCATATTAGAACATAAGAGGGGTACTTTAGTTTGGAGAGTCAGGGGAGTCCTCTCTGAGAGGCACTGATGTGAGCTGAGACCTGAGTGAGCCATAGGCACCTACTGGGCCAGAAGCTGGGGAAGAATGGTCCAGGTAGGGGACCAGCTAGTGCAGACATACAGAGGGGATGCAGCTTACTGCACCACTAGTATCACTGTGGCTGGGGAAGGGTGAATTAATAATAATGATCAGGCCTGCCCTGGTGGCGCAGCGGGGTAAAGCACGGCACTAAGAAGCTAAAGCCACTGCAGCATGAGTTCGATCCCCGCCTACCCCGGAGGTGACCACATGGCCCGGCAGACCTCTCCTGACCCACCCGCTGCTCCCCTCAGCAGTGTACTTTGTCGACCTGCCTGTTCTGCTCCCCACTCTGTCTCTGGCGAAGCCTCTCGCTGCCCCTGCACCTCTGGCCTGTACCCCAGTTATGTATGAACAAATGAATGTATCTTTTTTAAAAATGAGGGTAACAGACCGCTAGCCCTGACCTGGCATTTCCTCCACTCAGCAGTTCACCCTTGCCTCAGTTAATCCTCACAAGAGGCCAGTGAAGTAGATGGGCTTGTGCCGCTCGCTTGAAGGACGAGGAAGTTGACTCCAGACTCCAGCTTTTCACCACATGCCCAACACGCTCCTTGCCAGTGTAGGGAGTGGATGCAAGGCTTCTGTTTGTGGCTGGGAGGGATATTTCGTGCCTCACACACATTGGCAGCGGGAGTGGCGTGGGGATGTTGTGGCATCATTTCCACAGACAAGAAACCACGGAGTCAGTTCCTTTGACAATATTTGGTTGATTCCAAACAAAAACAGTTATTTCACCAACAAAATGGGTTTACTCAGAAACAACAGCGGGACAGTCTGGAAAGCGCTGTTGTGTGGGGGAGCATGTTCACTTCCCCAGACCAAAAACCAGCTCCCTCCTTAGATAACCTTCCCAGGGGCCATTGCTGCCTGACAAGGACCCTCCCTCCTGCTGGGCCAGGAAGCAGCATCGCTTCCTTTCTGAGATGCAAGGCATGTCGGGTGCTGTAGTTTGTTGACTGCGCGGGCCAAGGAACACCTGACTGACTAGCTGACCTCTTTTAAAGAGGGCTGCTGTATATTTTCACATTTCAAAGCAGAAGTCCTTTCAGTAGGGCCTGTCCTCACAAAAGCAAGGGTGGCTGTTTGGCTGCCACACCAGCGCAGGTCACCAAGAAATAAGATGGTGTTGATGGGGGCTCAGCAGCCGACTGCCCCATTTGGGTGAGCTTTGTGGGTACTTCATTTCCCAGGAAGAGTGACTGTAAGCGCCGACCAGCAAAGGGGCTTGCAAGTAGCCAGTGCCGTCCAGCAGCCGACCAGGCAGCACCGGCCGGTGGGAGCCCGAGGACGCTGCTCCGCCCCAGGCCCGTCTGTTTAAGTTTGGGGTGACCTGGGTCTTACAGCTTGTTAGATATGTTGAATGAAGGGCAGCCCTGGTTAGATTTGAGACCAGAAGCGTGGAGGGCATCTTGCATCCATCTGTGAGACATTTCCCTGCCTAGCCGCGTGCCAGGCCTGTGTGCCGGGATGCACACATGCTGGGGTGCCCGCACGCTGGGCTGCGTGGGGGCATCCTAGAGCTGGGATGCCAGCCACCCGGGTGCTCCAG